GCTCTAATAAAAACCAATTTTCTCATTCTATACTAATAGAATAGTCACTGCTTCTCATCATCTACTTGATGTAGAACATCCAAGTTTCTTCCCACTATTCACCTACCCTACGTCACTTCTCAACTAACGGTTTCTCAAACGCGAATATCCGAGAAAAGCCCGGAACAAGCACCACCAACAATACTGACTCCACCGCACATTGACTCTCTCGATACGCTCAATTACACGAAAGCTCTTTGTATATGTCATCCATCTGTAAGAAGAAACAACTTGCAATAAGACATTCCTCTCACTGAAAGCAGTGAAACCACAACAAAGAAAATAAAAAAGAGAATAGGTACATCGAGATCATTGGAAATCTCACCTAATTTGACATAAATACACTGCAAATAAGCACCCACTATATATCCAAAAAAATGAACAAAATCAAGAAGAAACAGATAACACCGGGGAATTTACCTCCTGAGAAAACCCAAAACCCCGAAAGCAAAGCGCCTGACCAACCAGGCGCAAAGGCATACCCCAGTGTTATAAACATACTTTCTTAGGATTTTCCTCTTAAATAATTGTAAAAGTAGTGACAATCCACTAAACCAATTATTCAAAACAAATATTTATGAATGGACATTCATCTAAACCTTGATGTATCACACTAAACCAAAACAGTGGAAGAAATCTAAACTTCGCATAACATACACAAGAGAAATAAGCATCATACTTATTCTCTAGCTATCTCTCCGACTTACTTTCCTCCAATAAACCAAGAACCCAATAACCTCAAAGCAGCCAAACACATAATCAAATTAAACTTTATAAAAAAATAAGTGAAAAGTAATTCAAACAAACTGTAGAAATCCAAACACATTAAAAATACTTTACCTTAACTTATATACGAATGTTTTAAAAGCAATAATAAGCCAAATAATTAGATATGAAAATACTACAATCTGATGAATCTGACAACATAAATGACTACATATGAACCGATTTCCACTCAAATAAGGATATGAGTTGAAGGAATCTAAACACGATAAAGACGAAGAAACGAATTAAAAGAATAGAGTCACGATTGCTAGCAATGTACATTGTGTAGTTACGAAGCTACTAAAGAACCAAGAAAGATACAAACACAAAAGGACAATCACAAGAGCACTCTTCCGGTTAAAAAAGTAACAAGAAGATAAAAAGAAAAGAGGGCACAGTACCTACACTCGCTTACACACGCCGCCCATTCAAAATATTACAACCCGAATTGCAGACATTCATCGAAAGAAACATTCCCACACACCGCTCTAGAACTACCACAACTCTGCCACACAATATAAATACATCTAAAAAAAATTATTATACGCTAGAAAAAAAGCAAGCGAAAAGAACATATACCAAATCACAGTACTCATTTAACGAATGTAAAATATCTAATGAAAAATATCTCCATTTCCAATATTCCTTCCAAGGCAACGAACACCACGAAAAAAAGATCTCTGCAGCCGACCGCCCACCTACACCCACATGTCCTCTCTCAATCAATTTCATTTTTTCCCCCTGAATTATTATATAATATCGAAAAAAAATATTACATAATAAACGATATATAGAACCAACCAAACAGAAAAGCCCGAACATCACTAAATTCCAATTGAGAACAACAACATTCATAACTTATACTCCCCAAAAATCACAAGTCCCCACATAACTTTCTCCAAAACCTTTGCCATTTCAATAATTACCACCACCACACACCTAACAAAAAAACCGAATATAATATATTATAATATATAAATATATATAATTATATATATTATATATATATAATATAATTTTGGTCCCCCAATGTTTAATTCGCCGTTGCAAATAGGCTACATTAAGTAATATGTAGAAACTTGTAAAAGCAAAATACGATTTGAACAGAAAGGATTCTTCCTGTATTTCGAAATCAAGTTATCCTAAATCGGACGCCTCCGGCAAAAAAAAAAAAACCACAAAAGATCAAAAGAAAAAACAGAATAATGAGCTGCTGTGTCCAAAAATTTTAAGATAGCATCAAGAAAAAAGGAAGAGTCTCTCTTGTTCTGAATTTTGAAGAAAATAAAGAAAAAAGGAAAAAAGAAAAACCCGCATTAACAGAGAAGTCAGCTGCAGGCGGAGAAGAACTGAACAGCTGAGAAGAATTCATGAACATCGTAAGGTAAATTACACGAAGGAAAATTAGAAGGAAGTGAATAAAGAGTTGAAGCGAAAGGCATGATTACCTTGAGCTTAGGCGGAGTAGAATGAGAGCTAACTGGTTGATCACCTTGCACAGAGAGAGACCGTTGGAGAGAGAAAGCAACGTCAAACCCAAAAAAATACCAAAGAAACTAAACAATAGAGAGAGTGTGAAAAATAGGAAAACAAAGAATAAAGAGCCCAGGGAACAGAAATAGACAGCTATACAAGCACTTTGGGTTATTGGATTTTAAGTCCTAAATGCATCCCTTTCCAGTTAAAATGCCCGAGTTTCCTATGATATTTTTTATATTCAATTTGTATTTTGACTTTAGTTTGAGTTATGTTCAATTCATGTATATAAGAAAATCTTCAAAAAAAAAAAAATTATGTAACATAAAAACATTTGAAATTTTGTTTTGAGAAATTTCGTTTAACAATTTTGTTGTATTTTTTTCCTTTTTTCTTTTCAAAATTTTTCAATGTTTGAATAAAATTGGATGGAATTTCATTCAAAAAATTAATAATGAAATTTCGTAATGATGTTAAAAAAACAATATTAAGTAATCCCGAGGGTAAGATGGATTACCTGAATCCTCTTCTTCCTTAACATCAGAAAGTCACCGCGCTTGGAGCCCTACATAAGTATGGATGTCCCTTTAAATACTCGAAAGGATCGCACACTCATCTCACACAAATTTTTTTAGGTTTGTTTGCGAGCAATACGGATTAGTCGAGTCAATGGCTCGACAACGTGATTAAAACACTATAATAAAATAATATTACACAAAATTCATTCCAAAGTTAAAGCAAAATTTATTTATAATAGGTGCGAGTATAACTAATTTATAATCAATGAAAACATCATCAATCAAATATACTTTTATTTTATATATAAACAATATACATGAAGATACATAATTCATTAAAGTTTCCAAACACAACCAAAGTACTAGATACAATTCATTTTTAAAACATCATATATCATGGAATCAAAAAGGAAGCATAAGCCCTAAAAACAAAAAGACACGCACAACCCTTAACGAAGCTGTCTGTTACAGCCACCATACATTCCTGCAGACGAGATCAACACGTGTAGGCCCAAACAAAAAAGATATATATATATATACACTTCAATACACACTAGACCTATCATACATATAATAATCTTCTAAGAGTCAAAATGTAACTCTTAAAGCTCAGTTATAAGACAACAAAACTCTTATTTGGTCAATCTCAAAACACGAAAAAACTCGGACAGTATAATTAGAAAACTCACTTTAGTAAATCTTCTTTTCTCTTGGTGTACCTAAACATAATCTAATGTTTTCGGCATTAACGCTTTGAAACTAGCGTAACGACAGATCATCACATTACAATTAAAGTGGCCATACAACCGTCCCGATCATTATCCATCAAAGACAAAGTTTTGTATTGGCTGTAAAGAATAGGCGCCCATCGATTTATTATGAACATTATTACATGTAATTTATTACCCAATCTATCTTGCAAAAATCAAGAAGACGACTTAATTGCGCTTGTGCAACAAGACAAGAATGGTTCCGTAAATTTCGGTCGTAACACATATTTTTTATTGGAAGGAATTTTGAAAGGAAAAAGAGGAGAAAAGGAAAGTCGGCATACAGTAAAAGGTTGAGAAGGCATCCTGCCCACTAAAAAAGAAGACCTAGAATTGCGATTCCTCCTAACGGCTCTTTAGACGAATGCCTTCTCAGCGCGTCACTCACAGATTTTCATGCACCAATACAATTGATAGTATAATTCAAACCAAGTTTATTAATTAAGATAAAAAGAAAAAAAATAATCAAAGAGTATTTGGGAATATAGTGATTCAAGATTTTTAAAAAAATTCTATTCGCTGTCTCACGATAGACGTTATAACTGTTCCTAAATCCTTAAAACATTTGTAATCAAGTGTTCCGATCTATATAATTGGCTGGAGCCAGAATTTTTTCAATAGAGGCAAATAATAATTATCATTTCACACATAAATAAACCTGATTAAAAAAATTTAAAATTAGTGTAATTGGGCATCAAACAATATTATTTACAGGTGATTACTTCACAAGGAATAAAAAATAAAATTGACTTAAAACATCATAAATTTAGTGTTATTACATAAACAAAACATATTTATGCGGTCAAAAGTTTTTTAATGAAAAATATAAAAAAAATAACAACAAAATAATAGAGATTTCTTTAAATGTAAACAATAACAACAAAATAATAGAGATTTTTTTAAATGTACATAATGACTTTCAATAGGAAAAAAGTAATTTCCTAAAATTTACATATTAGAAATTACAATGAAAATTACTGTTAATATTTAAAGTTTTAAATATGTTATTGTGATTTTAAAATTCAATCAACTATTAAAATATCATGAATTATAATATTAAAATCATTTCTTTGAATAAATTAAATACTATCTATTTATTCAATGAAATTAAAATTCAAAAATTTTGAGTTGTTAAGTTTTAATTAAATAAGCAAATATTTTAATATTTAACATGAATTTTATGTATCCATAGACCGAAATTAAATTCAAAATTCAAAATTCAAAATTAAAAAAGAATGTAAAACTATATAACCTGAAATTAAAATTAATGATATAAGTCATTTAATGGCAACAAAAATAATTTATGAAAATTGTGGGATCTTGTGTGTTTATTTATGTGTGTATATATATAAATATATTTAAACTAAATCTATACATAAAACAAAAACTGCAAAAAACCAAACTAAAAAAACAAAAAACTACATCTACTACATTTTTTTTTTATCAACAATGCAAAAATGTTATTAAAGGATTGAAAAAGAAATCTGAGAACTAATCTCTAGTCAATAGGCTAACCCAAAACACCCACCCTAACTCCTGATTGATAAGAAAACCCAAACCAAGAATAAAAAAACTGCAGAAAAACCAAAGACAAAAGACACAAAAATAAAAAATTGCCGACAGCTGCAAAAACTTCTCTTAAGGTAAGAGAATGAAACTTACAGTAACAACAAAACACACCAAGAAAAAACACAATAAGAAAGCAAACCCAAAGCTTAGAAGCAGACTTGAGACTAAGCATCAGCACAACTGGCACGAAATACAGACCGCAACAAAATTAAATCCATGCTAAGAACGGATACGCAACAACCAGTCCTTTTTTCGCTAGACTGTCAGCAAAGTAATTCCCATTTCTCTGGACGAAAACAAACTGAACCTCCTTAAGTTGATCCACGATATAATCAAACTTGTTAAATTTTTCCCACAATATCCAAGTTCTATTATGTTTTTGCAAAATCCAACATAATGCATTTTTGGAATCAGATTCCACGATTGCACATACCCTAAAAGCCGACTGCCAATAAAATTCAACGGCTGTAAAAATAGCTAGAATTTCAGCTTCATTAGAGTCAATAATCCCTAAATGCAAGAAAATACACTTCACAAAACCTGAACTTTCTCACAACATACCACCAACACCTGTAGGTCCCGGCTTACCTAGAGAGGATCCATCGGTATTGAACTTTATCCAAACTATTGTCGCATTAATCCAAAAAGCCTCCTTAATCGAAACTGATGACTTTCTGCCAATCGCACGACCTGACGTACGGACCTCTACTAGAAACGCAAATCGAATACCCAGATTAAAGGAACCCAACTTATCTTTGGCTTTTAATAATTTGAAACTTCTAGCTTTAATCAAATCCACCTCCTCTTCCGCCCTCTTAATCTCACTACTGAAATCGCTTTATTCCTCGCCAACCATACCGACCACAGAGTAACACCCACTAAAGAATTCCAGGAAAGAGAGCTAACTTTTTTTTCACGATACTTTGACACCGAGTAACACCCAGCTCTCATTCCTCCATTGCAACACACCCTCCCGAACCTTGATAGCAAAAGAACATAGCGGGAGGAGACGAATAGCAGACTCAATCTCAGAAGTCAGAACCGCAGAAAGGGCAAAGACAGTCTTGAGAACTTGATAAAATAAGTCCGCTAAGGAGATTGCTTCTACAAGAAAAAAGGAGAATTTAGGTGGAATAATAGGTGACTACAACATTTTTAAATTAAAAGAAACACTACCCACCTCCGACTCAACCTCTTCCAATAAACATGATAAATTCTTGACTGAGAATTTACCTTTTTTACAAAAAGATCAGATTAATTTATCCACCTGCAACTTAGCTTCTTCCAATAAACATGATAAATTTTTTACTGAGAATTTACCTTTTTTACAGAAAGACCAGATTAATTTATCCTCGTTGTTGGGTAAAACATGCAAATTCACTAGCCTTTTGGAGAGTTGATTCCAATACTCTTCCTCAAACTTTTGTTCTTTTCTGTCATGGGTAAAAAAAAAAAATCTACTACAATTTGATCTCAGGACCAATGACAGAAAACAACAAAAGTTTTACCACGACGCTAACCAATTCATCACATACAATAGCCTCATTACAAACACTTTTATCAACAGCGGGGAGCGGTCGCCCCCCTCGGCTGTGTCACCTTTATCAAAGTCGGGGGCAGTTGTCCCCAAACCCCTCGGCTCTGTCACCGAGCCTAAATGGCATGCCGACGTGTGGGACCTACTTAATATTCAAAAATGAGCTATGTAGGACGACAAGTCTAACTGCCACGTGGATTTGAAATCTACAAAAGGTCTAACTGCCACGTGGATTTGAAATCTACAAAAGGGTATTGGTCAATAATTAAGGACAAAATTGCCCTTACTATAACACTTCGGGCAACAGAGATGGAATGCAAAAACACTCTCATCCCAAATTACAAAGAACAAAACAAAATACAATAGATGAAATACATAGCAATCTCTATCGCAATCTATACGAGGACAAAATAAAATAATTCAAAATAAAATATACCGAATATTTGTTATTTATTTCACTCTCTCCATACCTGATGCACAAATCTCCTCTCCACAGCTTCAGGTCCTTGATGATCTATCTCTAATAGTAACCATCCATCGAAAGGACAAGTAGCATTTGACTCAAGCCATGTATCAATACACCACTTTACATGAAACATGTGCTATAATTTGCCAAAATCCTAACAATGGCATCTTCCACTACAGTAACCAAACAAACAAAGCACTTTATTTCTCTTGCTTCACCTTGATCAAGTTATTTCTGATCGCTTAGCTTATATGAAAATATAGGAAATCAATCAATAACCAATGGATCAAGGCCCGTCTTGACTAGTCCGCCGGAATAATTAACCACCGCCACATCGGTTGCAATTTGCTTGCTTAGGTGATCAAAAGCGACTTTGCGTTTCCTTTCTTAGCGTCTTGATATGATATATCTAGAGTAAAAAATATAGACAAATTATCAGCAAACTTACCGTGAAGAGAGGATAAGTGCAGTAGGGTTTTGTTCTATGTGATTTGGGATGAGAGAGTGTTTTTGGATTCCACCTGTTGCTTGAAGTGTTTTGGTAAGGGCAATTTTGTCCTAAATTATTAACCAATTCCCTCTTGTACATGTCAAAATGATGTGGCAGCCGACTCGTCGTCTAAGGCAGCTCATTTTTTAATATTGAGTGGATCCCACGTGTTGTATTGACGTGCCATGCAGGCTAAAGACAAGTGATTCAAAATATTTTATGGGTTTAGATACTAATCGTAAATGTTTTTCCTCAAGACACCGAAATAGAAATTTTTTTAGAGTTTAATGGCAAATTTATAATTAAGCGACGGGAAACACATTCTGCACTGTTGAGTTTGATTTAATTTGTATTTCGATTTATATATTGCACTAAAATACACATAATGTATTTATCTTAAAAATTAAAAACTTATATTAATGATTATATCTTATAGAACTCATAATATTTTTAGGGATTTAAAATGTAACTTATCCAAGAATCTATATATTTTTAGGAACCAATAATGAGATATATATATATATATATATATATAATATATATATATAATATATATATTTATATATATATATATATAATATATAGAGAGAGAGAGAGAGAGAAGAGAGAGAGCAGAGAGAGAGAGAGAAGAGAGAAGGAAGAGATGCCAAAATAGAATTATAATAGGGAAAAATAGAAGTTTTGCCTAACATCTTACGAAATAAAATAGGTTAAAATTATAGTCTAAAATAAGTTTATTGCTAAATGGTACCTCATAATATGACAAGAGAGAGAGAGAGAGAGAGAGAGAGATGCCAAAATAGATTATAATAGGGAAATAAAGTTTGCCTAACACTTACGGAAATTAAATAGGTTAAAATTAAGTCTAAATAAGTTTATTGCATAAATGGGTACCTCATATATGACACGAGTTTAAATGGACCGTGTCACGGATTGACTTGTCTAATCCGTTTATTTAAAGATAAAAATGTAATTTCATATATAATATGTATATTAAGGGATTTAATGTGTTATATATATATGTCGTGTTTGATTGAACTTTTTGACTCATATTTGACCTATTTAATTAAACGGGTTACACGTGTCGTGTTCATGTTACTCGTTTAATTTTTGTGACATATTTGTGTTTAAATATTTGACACGGTTATTAAATAGGTGGTGTTCATATTGATCCTAATTATGTCACGGGTTCATGGCGAACCTGACATGCCAATCCATTTTGATACACCTATAGTATCTTTTAGATATACTAATTTTTTTTTATGAAATGCATTGTATTGAATATGCTTGTTATATACCGTTCTTTGCGCTCTTTTAATTTTCTTTATTTATACAATATTAAAACATAAATTTTTATTATTTAAATTAAAACAAATATAGTGGTTAATCTACATTACATTTTTCCCTAAAAGCTACTTTGTAATGCTACTTATGTTTTTAATTTTATTTTTAATAATGACATGGTTTCAAATAAAGTTCAACCTAACCTTTGGACCTCATCCTTCGGCCCTTAATTTATAAATGTAGATTTTTAATCCTAGTAGATGCCCAAAAAGAAAATTGAGTCATTATTCAATCCCTAATTTCCTGCCTCTAACCCCAAATAAATATCTATATATAGCTATAATGAAAAGTAAAAAGTAAAAAATTATTTTTTACTGCTAGGTAAAAGAAAAGAGAAATGAAAAGATGATTTTAATTGTATAAAATAACACGAACCAAAATTATAATGGTAATCACTTTGGCTATAATGGTAGTATTACTTATCCAGTGCATTAGAAAACAGAATATATTCACATACACACAAACTCTTGAAATCCCAAAAAGGAATCCAAAAGTAAAATATATAGTTCTAATTTTTTTCCAATTTTCAAAACGCTGTTTATTTTCCTCCAAGTTAAATAAATTTAGGATACCAGAAAAAAAATATTAAGAAAATTAAAATTGCTTAATCATCAACATGCCATTTATTTATTGCAATGAAGGTAAATCAAGTTGATAGTAGTTACAAATTGATTCAGTAGCAAAAAAAAGATAAAACAATTATTATTAAGAATAAAACTCTCTAAAACTCAAACATATAACAAGAAACAAATTACATTAAAAAATTACCAATTTGAATCTCAAAAATCAACCATTTTTTCAATTGAAAAGACTATGATTTAATGAAATTTGTTGATGGAAAAAAAAAAAAAAAGATTAAACTCAAGTCAGTAAATGGAAATTACAAAGCAAATCATACCAATATTCAATATTGGTCATTTCATGAGTTTATTCTAATCTTTTTATTTTTTGTTGTTCTTGATTGCAATTTAAACAAATAAATAAGTTAATTAATTAATAAAAAATAGGTTACATAAAATAAATATTTTATCCCCTTCGAATAAATCCTCAATTTGTCTCTTCAACCATAGAGAAAAAAAAAATCTACAATCCCTCCTCAAAAAATACTGATATAGTTTTAATAATAAAATGGAAAAATAAAAAGAAGAAATAACTTACATGGTGTTCTCTGTTGAGCTAGCAACTGGAAAAATATTTTTTGATTTTTTCCCTTGTCCTCCACTTAGTTCAGTCTGCAATTAAACATTTTCGTTTTGATTAACTATAAAACACAAGATTTCTCGTAGTTTTTTAAATACAGTTTGATGATAAATTCAAATATTTATTTAAAATTTAATAAATATTACTCTTTTCTTTTATACAATTTGAGTTTAAATCAAATGCTTAAATGTAAATCATTTCTTTTTTTTTTTACCTTTATACTTATTGGTTTTTCTCAAAAAATTGTGGTTGTCTGTACACAGTTAATAACATTACTTGTTTGCATTTTGTATTAGATTATGGAAAAATAATTATTTCGTCCATGAGATTTTATGAAATTAATTAATTCGTTCTTGCATTTTTGAATATTAAATATTTAATCCTTAAAATTTAATTCCGTCTCATTAAATACTCATTCCGTGCAATTTCAACTGTTTTTTTCCTTTAAATGAATATAAAATATAGAAAATACCCTAATGCTAAAAGACAAAACTCTTCTCTCATTATTGGGTTGGGCCAACTTTCTGAATCATTGCCTTGCTTTAACATAGACGGACAAACCAGCAAATTTCTCAGCAACATCAAACCAAAAAATGAAGAAACAACCATTACCAATTTAAAAAAAAAAAATTGCCACGAACAAAACTTGAATAAAAATAATAATTCTTGATGATGCTACAGACCCCTTCACAAACTTAAATAGAGCTTGTCCTAAAGTCTTATATCCAATATTGTCCAATATTGATTAGTGGACTCCACACTAGGATATGAGTTGTACAACTTTGTTGATGCAACGATTGGTTTTCATAAGATACAGATGAATAAGCTTGACGAGGAAAAGATGAGCTTTATAACAGACAAGGGTTGAAGTATGCAGGAGCTATGTACCAAAGGTTGGTCAATCATATATTCAAGACTTGATAGATGAGTCAGTTGAAGTATATATTTATGATATGATTGTGAAGAGTGTCAAGGCGGAAGATCATGCTCAAGATTTAGCTAGGGCATTTCACATACAGAAATACAAGATGAAGCTTAGTCGGAGAAATTTGCATTTGGAGTTCGATTAAGAAAATTCCTTTTACTTATAATCTCTCAAATAGGAATTGAGGTGAAGTCAGAAAAAATTTGAGCTGTATTAGAAATCTTCCATAGAATAACATAAATGAGGTGGAAAATTAAATGGAGAATAAAAACACTAGATAGGTTTATCTCTTCCTCGATCAAATGATGTTTGCCTTTCTATCGAGTCTTAAAATATTAAAAGACTTTCAGTGGACGAAAGATTATGAACCGCCTTTTGATTCCTTAAAAGATTTTCTAAGATTACCTCATTTATTGAGCAAGCTGAAAATGAGTGAGCCTCTTTACCTTTATTTAGTAACTACTTGAGAAACTATTGTATGAGTACTTGTTCGAGAGGAGAAGAAGAATAATTCCTATTATTTTATATTAATGAACTGTTGAGAGATGTTGAGCTGAATTACCTAAACATTGAAAAGTTGGCATTCGCAATTTTAACATCAGCAACAAGATTTTGGCATTATTTTGAATCTCATGAAATATATATTAGAACAAACTATTCACTCCCTAAAATCCTGCAAAATGTTGAAACTTTGAGTTGTCTAGTGAAATGATCAATCCAACTGGGGTAATTTGACATTTGGCATGTTCCTCATCCTCCTTTAAAAAGCATAAGTGTTGGCATATTTTGTTGTGAAATTTTCGGGGAATGAAGAGGAGAGTAAGGAAAGGCCCGAGCTAAGAATATCAAAATTGTAAACTGATGGAGCATCTGGAATATAGGTTAGGTGTTGGAATACTGATGATTAGTTTAGGCAAGGTAACCTTAAAGTATGTAGTTTGCTTTAACGTTATGCTAACTAATAATGCATTAAAATATAAGGCTCTCGTAACAAGTTTGCAATAGAGGTACGAGCAAACAAACTTAGAATATTTTGCGATTCACAACTTGTGTTTAATCAATTGTAGGTACCTTCACCACAAAAGAGGAAGAAATGATAAACAACTATAACGTAGCTAAGAAATGAAAAATATCTTAGGATATGTGTGGTCATTTGCTCAATCAGGGATAAATATACTGAGACCTTTTCTAGTCACAATCGAATCAAGAAAGTTTGTGAGCTGAATCAAGAAAGTTTGTGGTACTAAATCATAATCATTTTTTCAAATGGATAGAAGCTGAGGAACTAGCTATAATAACTCCAAACAAAATCATACAGTTTTACCAAATATGAGGTGGTATTTAAACAAGGGGATAATGTTATTTTGGTGCATGTACTTCGCTTTTTTTTTCATTTTGGTTTTGAACGGAAATTTGTGATAATTGAGTGTTCAAATTTGCATTTTTTTTTTAATTTGGTAACTTATGATAATATGGACAACCTGAATGATGGGACTAAGTGGAATCCTCATTTGCTTATGTGTTTACTTACGTGGCTTGACATTTAATCCATATCGGCTGATAGCATGGCAAAAATAATAAAATCATCCATTTAACCTCAATTTGTTATTGCCCCAAACAATTATCCCAATCCACCGTCTCATTTACGATTCACTGGTATGTTTCTTTTCTTTTTTTTTTTTTTTTTTTTTTTTTTTTTTTTTTTTTTTTTACGATTCACTGGTATGTTTCTTTTTCTTTTTTTTTTTTTTTTTTTTTTTTTTTTTTTTTTTTTTGTTTTTTAATTCAGATTTTAGTTCATGGTGAATAGAAATGAGTATCCATTTTGTAGTTCTTCTTGAAGAAAGGGGGCTTAGATCACGAATTGCGAATTGCGAATGAGATGGTGGGTTCGCAAGGGGCGCCAGAGCCATTGAAGTGGGTCAATTTAATTGATAAAAAGAAATTTAAAAAGTATATAAAAATGAAAAATTTTAGATTTTTTAATCTAATTGGTTCCAATAAAAATCAAATTAAATTAGTGATCCCACTAAAAAATCTAGCTCCGCCATTGTGGGTTGGGGTAATTGTTTGGGGAAGTAATAAATTGGGTTAAATGGGTCATTTTATTAGTTTTTCCATGCTATCAGCCTACGTGGATTAAATGTCAAGGCAAGGCACGGAAGCAAATATATAAGCAAATGTGAGTCCCACTTAGTTTTATGAGACATTCTGATTGTCAATGTCATTAGGAGACACTAAATTGAAAAAAATGCAAGTTTGGACACTCAATTTTCATAATTTTCCGTTCAAATACCAAAATAGAAAAAAAAAAAAGTTAAATACATGCACCAAACATAACATTATTCCTTTAAGCAAGTAAACTGATCAATAACTAGAAATAATTTGAGTTTTTCTAATTCAAGTCTTTTTGTCAAGACTAGAATATTGAGCCTCATTTTACTTTGATCACCTATCCTCAAACAAACTTCTAACTGAGGTACCTAATGGAAAACTTATACAAAGCTTGAAAAAGAGGCTAGATGACAAGAAAGCTAATGGGCATATGACCTATACTGTCCTATAGGCATATAGAACTTCTCCTAGAAAGGCAATAAGTGAAACACTATTCTCATTAATATATGGGATGAATGCTGTAAATTAGTAGAGATTGGGATGGAGAGCAGAAGATCTCGACACTTGAAAGCATCTAGATCAACCTAGATTTAGTAGGAAAAAAAAAAGAATTAATTAGGTTTCATCGACTAGCATACCTTTTCTAAATTTGAGTCAAATAAAAGTTTTTATTAAGTTTACATAATAATGAAATTTAGGTGGCAACTGTATAAAACTCATTCTAATTTTATGGAAATGAGTATTTCGATTTCGTTTAAACAATTAATTTTTTAGGTGTGTTTTCTTTTAATTTAATTATTTTTGATTAGAATTAACTAATGCACTAATTTATATAAGAAAAAGAGCACCAAAAAGCGAGAGTTACTTAATTAATTTGGCCAAACCATTGGTATCAAATAATTATTTTCCCTTATAATGATGGTATATGTAGCTTCAATCTCTCTGACGAGTTGTTGCCAAGAAAATGTCCTTAACGACACCTTCCTCAACTCTATTTTCGCGCTATGTTCCTTCTGCATGTCCCAATGGCCTCCACCAACAATTACAAACTCCTACAGAAAAACTGTTAAATCTCTTGAAACTATGCCTTTCTACAAAGCCGCTACAACAAATCCACACTCAAATGCTCATAAACTCAATACAAAAACCCAATTTCCTTCTCTCCAAAATAATTGCCCTTAAAGACTTTACATATGCTTCCCTTTTTTTTTCCCAAATCCCCAATCCCAATGATTATGCGTTCAATATTATGATCCGAGGCCTGACAGCTACATGGAGAAAATACCCTCTTTCTATTCAATTATATTACCAGATGAAGTTTTTAGGCCTAAAACCGAATAATTTCACTTACCCATTTTTGTTCATATCATGTGCAAATCTTTTAGCATTGAATCATGGGCAGGTAGGGCATTCTATGGTGTTTAAGATTGGTTTGGATCAGAATTGTCATGTGAATCATTCTTTGATTACTATGTATGCAAGGTGTAGTGAATTGGGATATGCATACAAGGTATTTGATGATATTTGTGAGAGAGATTTGGTGTCGTGGAATTCGATGATTTCAGGGTACTCGAAAATGGGTTTTGCACAAGATGCAGTGAGGTTGTTCGGGGAAATGAAGGAACAAGGGTTTGTGCCTGATGAGATGACATTGGTGAGTGTTCTTGGAGCATGTGGGGACTTGGGGGATTTGAGTTTAGGGAAGTGGGTGGAAGGGTTTGTTGATGAGAAGAAGATGGAGTTGAATACATATTTAGGGTCTGCTCTGATTGATATGTATGGGAAGTGTGGGGATTTGACATCGGCAAGGAGAGTCTTTGATGGAATGGTGAAGAAGGATGTTGTGGCTTGGAATGCCATGATCACTGGGTAATTAGCTCTGCTTTATCCTTTGTAAGATTATGTAATGGCTTATCTTGGGTTAACATTTTAAAACACTATGTTTTACATTGTTCAATTGTTATCTTTGATAATTGTGATATGCTTGGCAAGTGACCAGCTATTTGACTTCTGAAATTTTTTCGCCTAAAAGCCAAATACTTCAAGGCACATATACATAAAGAAAAATGTTATTGTACTTTAACTGCGTGCATTGGATGCTTTGACCATTTATTAATTTGTTTCTTGCCTAGAATCACAGTTATGCACAGAATGGAGCATCAGATGACGCAATTACACTGTTCAATGACATGAGAGAGTCAGGCGTAGATCCAGATAATGTCACAATGGTGGTTGTACTATCTGCATGTGCTTTAATTGGGGCCCTTGATATGGGAAAATGGGTTGAGACATATGCATTACAGAGGGGCTCTCAACATGACGTGTACGTTGCCAGTGCTTTAGTTGATATGTATGCAAAGTGTGGGAACTTAGACAATGCACTAAGGGTTTTTGAAAGCATGCCTCATAAAAATGAGGTCTCCTGGAATGCCATGATTTCTGCTCTTGCTTTTCATGGGAGAGCTCAGGAAACATTATCATTATTCAGGCGCATGCTAAATGATGGTAGTGTTGAACCAAATGGAATCACATTTGTAGGAGTCCTGTCTGCATGTGTTCATGCTGGATTGGTTGATGAAGGCCATCAGTTATTTGATTCAATGAACACCTCATTTGGATTGGTACCAACGATTGAGCATTATTCTTGTATGGTTGATCTTTTAGCACGCGCAGGACATTTGTATGAAGCTTGGGACTTCATTGAAAGGATGCCTGGAAAACCAGATGCAATTGTACTAGGAGCATTGCTTGGTGCTTGTCAGAAGCTCGAAAATGTAGATGTGGGTGAACGGGTGAGTAAAATGCTTTTAGAGATGGAGCCATCAAATTCTGGAAACTATATTATCTCATCTCAGATATATGCAAATTTTAGAAGGTGGGATGACTCAGCAAAAATGAGGGTGTTGATGAGACGGCATGGTGTCACTAAGATTCCTGGTTGTAGTTGGGTTGAGATTGGATCACAATTTCATGAATTTCATGCTGGTGATACTTTACATCATCATTCAATAGAAATCTATGATTTACTGAATGAGGAAATGAAAAGGGAAGGCTACATTCCTAAGATTGACTCTGTGTAGAGATGGAAAAGTCAAGAAACTTGCTTATTTCGTCAACCAATGGAAATGTGCTTGGTCCTTTATATGTTTAGGTAGGTGAACTCGGCTTTATTTATACAATTATTTTTATTTTATGATTAAAAGATGAAGAGAGGAGCTTAAACATGCCAATTGTAAGTAGCATTTTCGAATTCTATCATTTTGCTATGCTTAATGGATGGAGAATCTGCTACTATTGTTTTATTGCATCAATTTTCAAGCAATTTATGAGTGTTGGGTTCAAATTTTAGAAGGGAAGGTTAAATAGGATGATAAGAATGAGATTAGGAAGCATTTGGTAGTAATGCTATGGATTAAAAAAAAAAAAAATAAGAGGAGAAAGAGAGAAAAAGGAGACTCACTGGGTAGATAGGCCTTTCAAATGAACAAAATTTAAATTTTTATGTTTCTTTTATAAAAAATCTAATCATACAGCTATATTTATAGGTATTAATAGAGAATTCATGACTAACCCTGCCCTTAGGGTTTAGTACAAACATGGAAATTCTAAAACAATAAATAATATGCAAAAAACTTTTTGAATAAGAGAACTACTACTGAAAATAAAAAAAAGGTTGCCCAATAATAGTAAATGTGTAGTTTACAAAATAGGAATTTGCACAATTTTCCTAAATAGAAAAAACTTGCATGAAATTTGAATTAAAATTAGAATTGCATTAGAATAAATTCGAAGTTTGTTGTTTAAGGGTTGCATCAATTCCTTTAAGTGCTTTTCCGCCAAATAAGAACAATTTGATAAATTAGTGTCTAGTGTTGTCTCCCACGCTGGCAATTCAGCCCTTTTTTCCTAGTTTTTGTTTTTCTTCATCTATTGTTAGTCTTTCTCACCCTCTCTGCATGGCAGCAATTGAAAGATTGCTTAGAGGTTTATTATGGGAGTAATTCTCTGTCCAAGTAGCTGAACTCTAATTTATAACTGATCCAATTAGCTAGACTCTAATTTAGCTGAAACAGAATGGAAACTAAGGATCCATATAGTCGACCCCAGCTAGTTTGAGACTAAGGCTTAGTGTTGTTGGCTGTTGTGTAAATAGCTGAATGTTAAACTTAGTCCTTTATCCATTCCATTGTCGCCCCAATTTTCTTTTGTCTCTTGTAGCTGCAAATATATGATAGAAGGACATGCTTGGAAGACTGAAATCTGGAAATGCATTCTGCCATAGTTTAAGAGGCAAGAGGTAAGTTCAGCTATATTTCAATAGATATCATTTTTATCATGCATTCTTTGGTGTTTGTCCTTGTTTAGATCTATCACGTCTTTTACTTTGTAGTTTTAATGTGGAAAAAATATTATTCTTGTTTGTTTCATCAATAGGGACACATATATATACATATACAAGATACTATAAACCTATTAGGAATCTAACTCCTAACAAAATTCTATTTACAGCTAATCCTTAACACTCCCCCTCAAGTTGGAAGACAATTACGCTTATCAAATACAACTCTCCGGACAGTTTGTTGTTTAAGGAGTTTGCGAATAATCAACATTCCTCTCTCAAGTGCTTTTCCGCCCCTAATAAAAGACAGGAATATATGATTTAAATTTTAGTTGTCTTTTAATCTAGGGTGGTTTTGTTCTCCCACTCTAGCTCTGGCATATTCAGCCCCTTTTTTTTACATCCGGCTAGATTTTTTGTATTTGATCTTCATTTCTATTTTGTTAGTTTTTTTTCTCCACCCTCTCTGCATTGGCAGCAATTGAACTAGATTTTGTGCCTCTCGAGAGGATATTATTAATTTGGGCGAAGTAATTCTCTGTCCTGGAGATTTAGACTAAATAGCATCTAAATTTTATACACTTGTATATCCAATATTTCATGACCTAACTCTAATATTTTAAGCTGAAAAACATAAAGAATGGGAAAATATCTTAAACCAAGTTATATATATTTATCCATTTAAGTTCAAACGCCTACATAATCAAATAGTACGACCCCAAGCTTAGAGTATGTAGGAGTAAGTCTTTTAAGTTTGGTTGCTCTAAGGCTTGTTTTAAAATGTAAATAGACTGAATGTTAAATAACTTTAATGTCACCATTTATAGTCCATGTCCTGCAATATGTGTTTCTCGTGACTAAATCTAAATTGTTGAATGAACTCCAAAATTTTATTCTATATTTAAGTCATCTTTGATGTAGCTGCAAATATAGATAAGGTGGTTTCAAGGACATGGCTGGGTAAGATTGGATTTATAATCTGGAATGGCTTAATATTACGTTCCACATAAGCTTTTCAAAATTTGGTGTCACACATGTTAAACGTTCAGCGCTAGTTTGGTCTCTCTACAATAGAAGGCTATCACTCTAATTTTCTATTATAATCATAGCATTTCTTTATGCGCTCGGTTCTCTCCCTTGTGTTAGGAATACTTTATCACGTCTTTTTATATATATCTGTGTGAATAAAGTATTTTATATAGTGTTGAAAAAATAATATTCTTGTTGTACTATTTCCAAAATTTTTTTCTTTAATAGGGGACACATTAATATTACATTTTGATGACAAGATATATAACCTATTAGGAACACATTTCTAAAACTTACCTATACAAAAATAATATTCTCTTATTTACAGTCTTTAAATGTAAAATCCATAATAACTACTCCCTCGTTAAAGTGGCCCAGCAACAGGGATGTATATACATATACAAGATACTATAAACCTATTAGGAATCTAACTCCTAACAAAATTCTATTTACAGCTAATCCTTAACACTCCCCCTCAAGTTGGAGCACAGATGTTAATCATGCCCAACTTGTTACAAAAGTAGTTAAACCGAGGTCCATTTAGAGCTTTTGTAAATGTATCTCCTAACTGTTCACTTGTTTTAACGTGCCCTGTAGAGATAACACCCTATTGTATCTTTTCACGAATGAAATGACAATCAATTTCGATATGTTTTGTTCGTTCATGAAATACTGGATTTGATGCAATGAGAAGAGCAGCCTGATTATCACACCATAATTTTGTAGGCAAGGACGACTTGAAGCCAATTTCCTCTAACAACTGACGAATCCAAATTAATTCACAAGCAAATTGTGCCATAGCTTGATATTCTGATTTAGCACTCAATCTTGAGACTCCATTTTGTTTCTTGCTCCTCCATGATACCAAGTTTCCATCCATAAAGACACAATATCCTGAAGTTGATCTTCTATCAACCTTCGAACCTGCCTGATTCGCATATGAAAAATACTCAATGTCCAAATGCCCATGATTACTGTAAAGGAGGCCACGACCTGGATTACCTTTCGAGTAGCACAAAATCTGTCATAAAGTTTTCCAATGGATAACAGTAGGAGAAGATATAAACTGGCTTAAGACGCTCACAAAGTAAGCAATATCTGGACGTATTACTGTAAGATAATTCAGCGTCAATTTAAATAACAAACCGAAAGGTTTTTTTTTCTTTTATATATCTTTTTTTTATTTTAATTTACTAGTTTTGTTCTACGCCCTCAAGAATGATCTGGTGGTTGGGACTCATACATAACTTCAAATGTAACTCAGTAGAAGAGAAGACTCCCAAACACTTGGCTTAAAGAACGCTCTCAATCAAAATAAGTAAAGCAATAGTATCTGTGTACGAGGTTTGAATTACTTGGTGTTATGATGAGAGATATTCAGTTTCCCTCATCTAAATTTTTTAATTCAGCAATCTCAGGGCCCAAATCAAAATAGCCTCTTAAACATAGCCACCTCAATTGAAATTGTCTCAAAGAAATATTTAGTGTAAGATCTTTTATTTAATAACGTATAATTTCTTTAATTATATTTTTTATATTATTATTATTTTTTTTTATAATAATTGCATTTATTTCTTTTAATGTTTTTTTTAATTTATAAAATAAATTTTTTAAAAAAGTTTTTTTAATTTACTATATGAGAAGAACAATATACTCTGGAACTATTGACACTTCATACTTTCGAGTTTTTTAGTTGGGAGTCCTTCAGTAAGTTTATGTTGACATACTTTCTATATGAGATAATTGCAATGATGACCATTCAATATCTCACACCTTAGAACACTTTAAATACCCATTAAAATTACCTCTTTCCCACATCCAATTTTGTAAAGGTCTTATTGTCTGAAATTGAGTACTGAGCAGGAAATGACTTAAATGTGATGTTAATGCCCCCAGCGTCGCCCCCGCTGAACATCACCCCTGCCCTGTTTCAATCTCGGTGCTTCAATAAACAATGTCCTCACACGGCTGAATCACTCCCTGTAATAACAATGTCATCAACATAAACCACAAGTAGAACCAAAACAGTCTTAGTACTTCTGAAAAATACAGAATGATCAGAAGTACTCTTGTGCATGCCAAATTGGTGTACCACATTGCAAAATCTACCAAACCAAGCTCGAGGACTCTGTTTTAGGCCATAAAGAGATTTTCAAATTTTACGCACTTTACCGACTTCCCCTAAGCAACAAAGCCTGGTGGTTGCTCCATGTAAACTTTCTCCTGAAGATCCCCATGAAGAAAGACATTTTTAACATTCAGCTGATGTAAAGGCCAATCAAAAATAGCTGCTAAAGAAATAAATAAACGAACAGAAGACAATTTGGCTACAGGAGAAAAAGTATCAGAGTAATCAAGGCCATAAATCTGAGAATCAAGGCCATTCAAAAATAGCTGCTAAAGAAATAAATAAACGAACAGAAGACAATTTGGCTACAGGAGAAAAAGTATCAGAGTAATCAAGGCCATAAATCTGAGAATAACCCTTAACAACTAATCGAGCCTTGAGACGAGCAACAGACTATCAGGACTCACTTTAATGGTAAAAACCTACTTACAACCAATAGCTTTCTGACCTGCCGGGAGAGGCACAAGATCCCAAGTACCATTAGTATCTAAGGCAGCCATCTCCTCTTTCATTACTGCACACCAACCAGGACGTGCCAAAGCTTGGACAACAGTTTTAGGGGTAGAAACATAGTCTAGGTTACTTACAAAACAACGAAATGAAGAAGAAAGATGATCATAACTGACAAAAGAAGAAATAGGATAGGTAAAATTGCGTTTACCTTTTCGAAGAGCAATGGGAAGGTCAAGGTCTAACTGAGGAGTGGATGGATGACACAGGCTCAGGTCAACTAATCACAGAACATAAATTGAAAGGAATTAATTATTTAGATTGGAGTAAGACAATTAGAATTTATTTGAGGAGTGTTGAAAAAGATGATCATCTAATACAGATGATCATCTTAATAGATGATCATCTAATTGATGATCCACCAACAGATGAAACTAGGCAAAGTTGGCTAAGGGAAGATGTTAAGTTATTTTTATTGATTCGAAATTCTATTGACAGTGAAGTGGTTGGGTTAATTAATCATTGTGAGTTTTTTAAAGAATTAATGGAATATCTTGAATTCTTGTACTCGGGAAAAGGTAATCTATCTCGTTGTATGAGCTGCCAAGGATTTTATTGGGCCGACCAACAAGATAAACCCCTTACAGCTTATTTCATAGAATTTAAGAAGATTTACGAGGAACTTAATATTTGATTACTCTGATACCATGTAGTTTTAATGTGGAAAAAATATTATTCTTATTTGTTTCATCAATAGGGACACACACACACACACACACCACAACACACATTCATCACATATATTATATATTATATATTATATATATACACTGATACAACCTATTACGGAATCTAACTCCTTAACAGAATTTCTATTTACACGCTATCCTTATACTTATTACGTGTATTATTTTCTGCTAGTGGAACTGTATTCTTTTGGAACTATTTACTTGTTGGGCATCTTTCGCATGTGTTTTACCATATATATATATATATATATACACTATAAACCTATTAGGAATCTAACTCCTAACAGAATTCTATTTACAGCTAATCCTTAACATACTTATTACGTGTGATTATTTTCTGCTTAGTGAACTGTATTCTTTTGGAACTATTTATTGTTGGAGCATCTTTCCATGTGTTTTACCTGCTTGATGAATGGCCGGTAATGCATTCCTAACGAATGTTTGGATCTGTGCCTGGGTCTGAGCTTCCTAACCTTCTGCTGGGAAGAAGAAGTCCCCTGAAAAAGTGTCCGCCGTTAAGTTAAAGAGGCTGCCTCATTGGCAGCTGGAATTCCGTGCTTGGCCTGCTGCCTGTTTTTTTTGTGAGTCCCGGTAGAATGACTCCCAGATTTATTACCAAAGTTTAAGAGGCAAGAGGTAAATTCAGTTATATTTCAATAGATAATTCATTTTTATCATGCATTTAGCTTTGGTCACAAATTGAAGTTATATAAATTAGCCAGCCTCATTCTAAATGCTCTAGGACTCCTATGAGAAAAGCCTAGCACTTAATAGGGTTAGAGTTGCATCGCAACTGATGGAGCATAAGTTTTGGGATTTTATTCACCAGGAAATTAAAGAAAGCATTACAAGCTTGGTGTTTATCAGCATAAAGGTACTGCTGAACCCTCAAGTGCTTGGACTCTTAAGCCTGTTTGGATGAGCAAATATGTTCCACCATTGAGCGTTTGGACCTCCAACCGTGGTTTAGGGTGTTCAGTGACTCTAGCAGTTAGAGAAACGTTTCAAAGTCCATTGGTTGGCGGTTTAAAATTATAACTGAAATGATAAAAGCTGATTTTTGTTGCTGTTTGCATTTAGCCTTCCAACTGCTAGCTACCTGCCTGCAAGAAAAAATCAGTAGCCATCAACTGCTAATCAGCCACCAATATCTAACTACAACCATTGAACCAAATAGGCTCTTAACCCTTATCTAATTATATAAATAAACTGATGGTAAGACATTAAATTATAACATATCCATCGCACCAAAATCATAAAATAACTGATATGTCCTTGCTTCCAAAAATTCCTGCTGCTGTATTGCAAACAGTAATTTCCCCAAGTTATTTATCTAATTCCATTGTGAAGTGGAGATTGATTTTATTCATTTGCAATAGTTCGGCCATGTTTGGTTTGCTCTGGAATTGGGAATGGATTCCATTCAATTTTTGGAATAGAATTTCATTTCTGGCTTTTTTGCGAAGAACCCAAAATTTTTTTGATATTTTTATGTTTGGATAACTTCAGTTTACATTGAAATGATATAAATGTTTAATTACAGTTCTTAGTCTAAGCAATAAATATACGTAGTTTATTTAATAAATAAACTTGGAATATAATTCCTTGAACTTAGATATCCTTTTCTAATTGTATTTTTTTTAGCTTATCTGGGCATGCTCATTTTTAAGGTTGTTTCTGATGCTGTTGCAGAGTCATCATCAATTGCAAAGTAGAACCAAAAGCCTGGAGGAGGCTAAGAGGAAAATTGAGGTATTCATGTCTGCTGTACAGAAACTGGAAATTGGATGGCTAAAGTATGGGAATTTTGATGCATTATTTGTCTATTTATAGAAGAGAGTTTTGGATGCTTTCAGGTTATAGCATGCCTCTACGAAATCTCGTTATTTATATGTGGGTATTCCTCTATAGGCTTGAAATTTATTTTAGTATTAATTTGATTATCTTATAAATAAACTTGAAAATTTCATTTTGTTTCTATTTTAGAACATCCATTTTTAAGTCCCATGACTTTTGGTTGTTGAGTTGTCTAGGAGCGCTAATGTCTGGTATCAGAGTTGAGAAGGTCAGCAAGCTACTGAATTAGCTTATGCCGGATGAAATATATTACAAGCTCAAAGAGCTACTTGCTCTGTTGAGTTTAAACTTTTACTAATTGGTGATATTTGCTCTGTTGCAGGGGCTCTGTTGAGTTTAAACTTTTACTAATTGGTGATATTTGCTTTGTTGCAGTTTATATCAGTTACAGCTATATGCTTTACATGCTTCTTAATTAGATATTTTGACATGCTGCAAAAATAATTTTTTTTTTTCGTTTTTGCTGCGGTTTATTGATGTTGAATTGTTGTTGTGTTTTAGAGTCTAAAAAGTAAAAGGAGTCTATATCTGCATGCTCTTTAGCTAGCCTAGATGCAGGATTTTTTACTTTATATTGCAGGCTTTTACTCACTAACTTGGGGGCTAGTAGATTGATAATGAGAATCTAATCATTATTAATATTTCATTGGAGTCCGCAGTCTCTTTTCAGCATTAGATTAATTTATAAGGTCTGGCATTGTTCTTCTTTATCTTTCTTTTTTCAAGCACTGTTTTGCTTTATTTGATTGTTTTGAGGGTTCTTATTGCTTATCATTGGATTTTTTGCACAGCTTTTATGGGTCCTCTTGCTCGTCTTTGAAGGGTAATATATATATATATATATATAATTTCTTGTTCTGTTAATTAAATTATTCTACTTGTTCTTGTTTATGAATTTTTGGCTCGTTATGGACTACAACTTACACGAGTTGTACTTGCGTAGCTTTTTTTTTTTTTTTTTTTTTTTTGGACTACAACTTAGCACCGAGTTGTAGCTTGCGTAGCTTTTTTTTTTTTTTTTTTTTTTTTTTTTTTTTTTTTTTATAGATATCCTACTTTTGCTAAATACTTAATACTTTACGTTATTGAAATTCATATGCAGAAAGATTGATACGAACATCTACAACATTTGCTGCTGCCATGATCAATCTCGTTCCTATTGTGAACCTAATCATGACCTTTTTTGGGTTAATAAATTTTGGTTTAGGATGGGGAGAATGAAACTGAGAACAATAATGGGAAACAAAGATACTAGGGACTCAACTGCAGTTGGAGGAGCGGTGGTTATAGAAAATAATAACCATATTGCAATATATAGAAAATTTACTATGGCTACATACAAATTTTGAGCTCATTCCATAATAATTATTAAATAAGAAATTATTAAGAATTTAACAAATGTAGGGGAAATTATAATCAAATAGTATATATTTATTCAAGTGGTCCATAGAAATCCAATATAATCAATTGAAAACAAGTAAATGAGAGCAACATGGCTCATAAAAGCCGTGTTAAATTGAGTGATAAGCAACAAGACCCTTAAAGTCATGCATATATGACAAACCTATTCTGAAGCGCCGTTTTGGTTTAAGTAGACAAGCCACTGTTTCAGTTTGAATTGGAACCAAAATGGAATCAAACCGTACTGCAGATGAACTAGAGCCGGTTCGAAACCGTTGGTTCAAAGTTTTGAACTGAAACTGACGGCTCAAGAGTTAGTTCAGGTTTAATATATTTAAAATCTTGAATGGCTGGTTCCATGAATTGGAATTGATGGTTCAATAAACTGGCCATGTCTAGGTTTAAGTCTCCTTTATTCTCTTATTTTAGTTGCATGATATGTCTATATTAGAGACAATATGTTGATCAAGAAAATGGGAGCTATTTGTTTGTGTTTTTGTTTTGCCTCTCTTATGTAATCCTTTGAAATTGTGGTGGCGACGATGGTGGTTGTGGTGGAGATGATGACGTGCCAATCACATTACTTATTTATAAACATATAATCTAATGGTTACATTCTATTAAATTTTCAATTATATAATCAAAAATGGTAATAGAATATTAATTACATTACATAAATATATTTGTCATTCCATTATATTAGATTATGTTTGATGTTGATTTAGAATGTTGAAGTTATGTTTGGTTGTTTGGAGAAGTTGGAGTGTGTTGATATTGGAGTTGGAGTGAATGGAATCAAGTTTGGATAATCCTTTTAGGGTTTAGGAAACCTAGCACTTTCGGGTTTGAAATACGAAGTTTGGTGGCTGAACTTTGCCAGATCACTCCACTTTGCCGTGTTGTCGAAACTGCTTTCAGGCCGAACTTGCCTCTAAAACTGGATATTTCCATCTTCCGAAGATAAAAAAATGTTTTCGAAGTATCAATGTGGACTTGAAAAACAGTTTCAGAAATGATTAATACAACTTGAAAACAAACAATTAACGGTTTTGAGGTATTACAACCGTTTCACTCTAGTTCAAAAGGATCTATTTCCCATTTTTTTAAACAGGAGATACTACTATATAGGCTGAATCATTAAGAATATTCTAAATTTTGCTAGTAGTTTTAATTGTACCCTAAATTCAATTTTTTTCTCTTTGTATTTTGAATTTCAATTTTAGTTACAATGACACCCTAATTTCAAATTATATCCAAATGAATAAAATATTAATTATGAATTTAAATTTAAAGTAAAATAATTTTAGTTAGTTATAAGTATAAAATATTAGTTTAGATTCTGTTTTACCATTTTCTAAGTATGGAATTTTGTTTATACTCAGGCTAATTCTCTTATAAATTAGATTTTGTTTTGCCATTTTTAAGCATGAAATTTTATTCATACTCAGATTAAATCTCTTATAAAAATAAATTTTATTCATTGTGGCGTCATTTTATTTTATTTTTAGGGAATCATTACTTGTTGTCAATATTATATAAACAAATAAAAATATTTTATTTTTAAACTGAATAGATTATTTTTTATTTTAATATTTATATAAATATTATTTATTTATAAGCAGTGTCAGTGGGAAAAAAAATCTAATTTAGAAAAAAAAGGTTAAATTGGTTTTCACAAAAATAATATTTTATTTATTAAATTGATTATAATTTGAAATTAGAGTGCTATTGTAACTAAAATTAAAATTCAAGATACTATAAGAATAAAGTTGGATCTAGAGTACAATTAAAATTACTCACAAAATTTTAGGGTATTTTTAATGATTTATCCCTATTATGTATATGAATAAGCCCGTTTGAAGGGCAAATTATAATGTAACACTTTGACCGTTAGAGTAAAGCTTCATCGGTGATGCAAAATTAGGATAACGGTTTCTGAATTTGAGGCTTACTTCCTCTTTTACAATATTCACTTTTGTATTCTTCACTCTTAAATTTTTCAAATTGCTAAATTCATACCTCAAGCAGTTTTTAAGATCGGACTGGACATTGAATTGGGTTAATGAGTGGGTCACAGTTAAATTGGGTCAACTCGGTTTAATTGTTTTTTACTTTTTAATTTTTTTTATCATTATTTAGAAAAAAAATTAACAAAATATAATCATAATTATATATTTAACATAATGATCAACATATCAAAATATAAGTTATAATAATTTAAGTGTTATAACAATATTTAAAAATTGGTTACACCATATTGAGAAAATTTAAAATACTTATTTGTAATTTTTATATGTTTTATTTATTACGAAATATCTTAAGAAAAAATTGTGGATTTCAAAATTTAAACGCATGACCTTTTAAAAAGGACTTTGGTGTCTTAAACCGTTTTTTGTTTAAAATTAAAGCTGGGTCGTTTGCAGCAAAAAATCGGACTGAAATAGAAACTGGTTTGCGAGTTAACCGGCTCGATTAGCTGGTGCGATTCGATTTTCAAAATACTAACGTCACACTCCAAGCGATTGTCTATTGAAGATTGTCTTAATCACATATTAGTGAAAGCTAAGCTAAAGCCTGTGATTGGAAATGGCCCTTCAAACTTCGAACAGACTAAATTTCATTGTCGTTTGGGTCTAACAAATTCTAAATTCTTATTTCCCATCAGAAGGAAGAATTGGAATTGATAGCTACGGGAGAAAACAAAGTCACCATCTAAGAATCTTAGTGCAAGTCCATTGGACAGGCACGAATTTGACTTTCATTGCTTGTGAAAGATACATATAAAGACTGTGGGTTGCTCATAAATGTCCACTAAGATTTCTGTTTTTGGACACAATTCGCCATCACAGGACCATATGGCACCACAGCTTCCCTGATTTGTGCTTCTGGTTACTGCCTTTTTTCCCACTCTCTGTTTCTGCTTATTATTACCCGTGAGATCATCCTATTACTAGTTGTTTCTGCCTATTATTACCATATGTCATTTTTTTTTCAAATCGATTTGTTTTATTTCACTTAAAATTTTCAAAATTTCCCATTTATTGGCCCTAGTCATGTCAAGGATTGCCTATTGTTTCCTTTTACAAAATTGTTCACTCCAATGTGCATATAATCAAATGGCTAATCATCATTGCCCCAACTCTCACTCCAAAGGCAAGGGAATAATCCTAGCCATATAATCTAGGAGAATATTCTTAAATTTATTCTCGAATTTTCTGTGTAAGTTTAATGGTTAATGTTGAAGTTGGAATCGTTTAATACAACACCAAATATGAGGATAAAAAATCCATTAGCAAATTAGGTAGTTCTAACATTTTACTAATGGTTGACCATGTCCAATAAGCCAAATTTCTCTTAGTGAATTTTAGTATTTACTCCAATCATTCACCTTTCAACTCAAAAGGTCTAACACAGTGCTAGAGCAGGTCAGTCTAGTACTACTGTCTTTCAATTTGTTCATCTGAATCTTAGCAAGACTCAATCCAATTTTAGAGAGACTTTCAAAATTCAAGTGTCAATTGGCTTCTAATTGCGTTTGGGCGTAAAAAAAATTAGAATCTCATATTGCATAAAATACCAAATAATACAATAAGAGCATAAGGGGAGAATTAGATTCTCACATTGAATAAAATGTCTAATATACAGGGCATATAAGGTGGAAAGTTGAAAAAGAGTTAGAATCCCACGTTAAATAAAATGCCGAATGTCTAAGACATATAAAGGTGGAAAGCCAACTAACTAATCGGTAAGTTCCAACCTTTTAGCAATATTTGGTTTAAGCACAAAATTATTTTCAATAAATTGTAGTCTCCATCCTAATCATCTGACTCAAAAATTCAAATATTTACATTCATTTTCATATTCCAAAAATAAAATATTATAATTATCGATGAAAAATTCTGTTTGGAATAACCTTACATGCAATATATCATACTTGAAAATTTTTAAGAATTTCTTATCTTAGTCTATTCAAATTGGCTTGGATTAGAAAGAAGGAAGAAGCCTCGCCAAATGCTCAACAGAACCTGTAAGACTGAAATAGGGAGAAGTAAGCAATATATGTGAAGATGCTTTCTGGAAAATAATGCATGGTGAGCAACTCCTAACAACTTACATTTTATGCCACAACAAAATAACAATACGTTCATTAACACTAATAATTGCACTTTGAACATAATGCCATAGCCTCTCAATGTCATAGCACATTTGTCATCTAATCATCATTTTATTATCATGGCTCACATCATAGAGCAATTATAAATTCAGACTTGATATTTTTTTTATGTCATTTTTTAAATCGATTTGTTTTATTTCAGTTCAAATTTTCAAAATTTTCCATTTTTTAGCCCTAGTGACATCACTATAAATATTTATTTAGCCAATTGTGATGAATGTGGAATGTTGGTTGAACCTATGGTAGTTTTCTTGGGAGTTTTATGCTTTGATTTTTGATAATTTGAGATTATAATGTCTATATGTATATGACAAAGATTAATTTTGGGTATGGTTGTGATTTATATACATTGATTGAAAAAAATGCATGTTGGTCGAACCTCCTATATGTATACCTTTAACTTAATTTGACTCCTTTTGAATTATTAAGTAATAATTAAGTTAAATTCTGCATCAATTTTGTGATATTTAGCTTAAAATTCTTATGTAAGTGAAGCAACATTAGAAATTTGTGAAAATTGAATATAAATGTGATCTATGTCTTAAAATGAGATAATTAACTATGATTTTATGGTTATGGATGTTTTTGTATGAATATATAGTAAATGAGTCAAGTTATGAGTTTTGGTCACTCATAGGAAATTGAAGTCCTATGAGTGATGATTATCTGATTTATGCTTTCACTATAAGAAAAATACAGTTTAGCAAAAAAAATTTAGCATCAAACAGTATCCGACGCTAGTTAGCAACCGTTTGGCAAG